AATAATATTTTGTGATTGGCACTTCATTTCGTTAGGAAGGTCTCCCAAACAAGGTATCTACCACGACTGTTTAAATGTGTAAACGTGTGTCGGACTGCTAAGCCATTGACACAGTGCTAACTGTGCTAACTAAGTTTCCAACTCTAACGGAACGTCTACACAGCAGCGTTAAAAAAATCTTGGAGGTGGACGTATCTGAAGCTTGAGGATTTTTTGCGAGCAACCAATCACATGAATCTCCCGCCCGCGACATACGAAGCAAAAAAGCCCGAAGTAAACTGAATATAAACTCCCCAAAACAGGCGAAAACCTACCACTGTCTCTGCCACCTCCCTCCATGCCTGGCTCCTCCGGTTTATATCCCGGTAGGTCTGGTCATAAAGCACCGGGTGATTGATTCGCTACCGCTAATTTCTCCTCCATTTTTTGGAATATGAGGAAATGACCTGCGGTATGTCTCTCCCAGCATACACGCCGTTTGATTGGCTAGAGCTTGAACTGTCAGATTTGCGTACACGGGATTTGATTGGCTGCCGCTTCCACCTCAGCCTCAAAAGTTGAACATTGTTCAACTTTGAATTCTCAAAATCCTGAAAATCTCCGCTCGCCTGCCCACAATCCATTTCGGCGAAAAGTGAGGGAAAGTGACGTCACCCCATTCAAAGTGAATGGGCAGAAGCGTTTCAAGATTTTTTTAACGCTGCTGTGTAGACGTTCCGTAATATCAGCAGATGGCCTTACATACATGTATCTCATAGCAGGAGAATGTCTGCATTCACACACGAAATACTCATAGACAGTATACTCCGGGTGATTTACCGTACGGTCAGTCGCGAAACGTAATTACATTATAGCTGGCGTTCCTAGCGTGTATGCTACCGAGCTAAAAAACGGAGCTAGACATTAGTTTGCTCGGGAAAACAAACTGTGTTGATTAGATAGATAGATTAGATACACACTCCTACCACAACTAGCCTACTACTAACGAATCTAAAACAACTAAGTTTCTCTAATATTTTGTGATTTGCATTTGATTTCGTCCAGCCAGATCAGGAAACTCCTGGCGTATCTGGCGGACAACACACACACGGGATGACCCACTCTGATGCCTCGTCCTAAAAAGCCCCGGCAGCCGCTTACAAAGCTGCGATAGGCAAGATGCCGAAAACGCCTATAAGGGGAGGAATGGATGATATACAGTGTATATATGTATATTTACTAGGGCTGTCAAGTTAACGCGTTAATAACGCGTTAACGCAAAAAAAAATTAACGCCACTAATTATTTTAACGCGATTAACGCATGTGTATTTTTTGTCCTCGGCCGCCCCGTAGTTTCAGAGCGCATCGAGTTTAAAATACCATCTACAAGCTGATGCTGACAGCCCCGCTCCTGTAGCCCGCTTGTGGCAGACCACACTTCCACGCTCACCGGCAGGCCCGGACTGGCCATCGGGAGGACCGGGAGGGAGTGTGTATGTGTGGCGCGACTCGCGCGAGCGAGGCACACCTTACGTGTTGTTGTTGTTAGCATCTGGTGCTAGCTAGCTGCGCTAACGGATATAAGGAGCTGTTTCAATGACATTTCGCCGACAACTGCGCCGAGCACTTGACTTTATGCAGGTAGCCAGACAGTGGGACATTGTACGAAAAGTCAGCGCACTCAGCACGGATAGTACGCGCTACATGATTGCAGCGTCCAGGCAGCACACGTTCGAGCATATATGCCTTGAGCGGCACATAGCTCCAACGATCCATCACAGTGTCTCCACACACACACACACACACACACACACACACACACACACACACACACACACACACACACACACACACACACACACAGTATTATTGTATGAGAGAGGTTCCAGGTTGAATTGAGGCGAATATTTGTAATGTTCAGAGGTTGTTGTGTTTAATATTCATGAGAATATTTGTCATTGTTCAAATGATAATAAACAAACATATAAAGCATATTTGTCCACTCATATGTTGATAAGAGTATTAAAAACTTGAAAAATATCCCTCTAAGGTACATTTAGAACAGATAAAAAATGTGCGATTAATTTGCGATTAATCGCGATTAACTATGGACAATCATGCGATTAATCGCGATTAAATATTTTAATCGACTGACAGCCCTAATATTTACGCATGTTCATTTTGTACATTTCTAAAAATAAAGTTTGATGGAAATACTTAGTAGGCCTATCCTTTCTTCCCTGAATTATTTGCTCCTATAACATATGTGACCTGCTCTATCGAAATCAGTCGCATTGACCCGAAGACACATTTTGAGTTGTATACACTGTTGGAAAGAGGAGATTCCTAGCTTTCTAATGATATCAAGATTTTTGTTGTACTCCAAATATTAAGCAAAATATGTCACATTATATAATGACTGTCACCGAGTCATCATTTTGAGAAAAAGGCCTTCAAAGTTTCCTCTTCTCTGGAATCCATCGATCTGATTGATTATTAGCGGAGCAAATGATCAAAATAGTCCGGAGGGAAAATATTTCCGTTTGGATTACTGGTCTGGGGGAAGCTCGCGAGTGTGTGAGTGTATGTGTGTGTGTGTGTTTGTGTATTTTTGCGTTTGTGTGTATTGTGTTTGTTTCCCGGGGAAAACACTCACGAGAAACACCGGCTGTTGTTATGCTTGCTGTGACGTTAAGTTACTCCGTTCTCCGCTTGTAAATATGCCGTTACAAGCTTCATAGTTGTATTTATCATCTAAATTTGCCGAAACAAGTTTAATATTCTGAAAGCCAAGACTTTGTTTAATTGAAATCAGATGAAAACAAACTGTAACGGACCCTGCCGTGTTATCTATGATTACTTATGCCTTACATTCATAATTTCAGCCGGAGGGAGGGGGGGCTGCGCTACGGAACAGCAGATTGCGATTGAGAGGTGCCTGTCATCTTCCCTTTACAAGCTTCACAAATGTATTTATCGTGTGATTTTGGAAATAAAAGTTTCATATTCTGAAAGCCAAGACTTTGTTTATTTAAAATCAAACAAAACACCCGAACCCCGAAAAAATAGTTTTTTCCGCAAATCCACGTTTATTTTGAAATGAGCCGTTGCGACATCCGACTGATTTCGATAGAGCGGGTCACATATCATTCATATAGCAAACCATGATTTGATTTCTCATCAAACAGTAGTAGTTTATTACAGGTAAAAAATAACTTACTCTTCTATAACAACAGTTGTAGGTACAGTTCGGTTAGTTAGCGTATAAAATATACGGCTGTACCGACGCCATTATAAGACTGATGTTCCGCTCAGATCGAGCCGAAAAAAGCACTGTTAGACATGGGCGGAGCCTCTCTGGTGGTTGACTAATCAGAACAGAGTGGCCGAGCTGACCAATCGGAGCACACTAGGCTCACAGGGAGGGGGGGCAAGAGCTCCAACGAGCCGTTTAGTGGACAGAGTGAATACTGCTGAATACACATACTTTACAGAGATGCTGTATGCGAAACCAATGTGAGTTTGGAAAATTGCACAGTATAAATCTATTTTAGTATACCTCAACAATGTAATTATGATCAGTGGAAATGGCCATGACACCTGTCCTTTAACAGACTCTCTGCTGACAACCAGTCAGACTTATATGCGTTAAGCCCCTCCCACAGGCCACTCAACTATCTATCAACTTAATTATTGTAATTATAAATAACTACAAATGTATTCAAATGTATCCCAAAATAATTAAAGACAATAAATCAAATAAGTCGAGATATACTACTATTTCTGATCGCTGAAGCCCTAAACAATTAAACAATTAAATCTTAGAACATATTGTCACCCATGCCCATGCACTACTTAACTTGGTACGGTCCAATTGAGCACAGTGTTAACTGATTGAGCCTCTACTTAATGCAGCAGTTATCTGTTGTTCTTTTGGAACTTCGGAACTGTGAACAAGAGGGTACGCAGGTTACTGTGGCACACTGGAAAAGCAGTTATGTTAAGTATGATTTAAAATAAAACTGTCTTGAATAAAATAATGATTTATTATTTTACAAATGTCCAGCAAAAAGTGTGCCTTTTACCATGTTCCTTATGCAAACAGTGACGACGTCTTGGTCACAGAACCAGAGTGAAATATTTAAATAGTAGCCTATAATTGGCTGGCAGTGAGCACCCGGCCCCCACCCCTGACCTGCCTAGAACGTCCCCGGATCCACTCCACGTTTTCAGTTTTTTTCCCTGCGTCCTTATTAAGCGCGGAACTGTAGAATCAGAGGAAATAACAGGCACAACAAACACGAAGGGCGTGCAGAATAACAGGAAAGCGCTGGTATGTGCTGAGGAATGAGGAGAACGTGTGAAGGAAAGCGAGGAATCAGGACGGAGCCTGTTCATTTTCTGCACTACTGCTGCGTTTCTGGAGCATCCGCAGCTCTACCGGAGGATGCTGCATCTCCATCCGCTGCTGTAATCTGTGCAGTCCCCTCGGCTGCCTCTCCCCGTGCATCCTGCAGCGGGTGACAGGTGCAGCATGATGCGCGGACAGGAAGGTTTTCCCTGAGCAAGGATTTCTCTGCCTCCCCCAGTCCGCATCACCGCTGACTCCTGTTAGCCGCAAAGCAGGGGGAAACACTGGATCATCTCTCCACTGTTTAATTATTTACCAGAATCTGTTCCTGAACATCAACATATGCTGGTGTCTTTGTTTTACACCCTCCTGTACATGATCTTAAACACGGGATTGAAGTGGCGTTGATACGGACTGATGGCCAGGCGTCCCGCATTTCCTCAGCAGGGGGATGCACCCTAAAATAACCCCGGTGCCAAATGTTAAGCGCGCACATTCATTTATGGTGCATATATTATTTACATTTGTTTTGACTATTTTATGCCGAATTATCCCTGCAGCTTTCAGCGCATCGCAAACCGAGGGAGCCCTGAATCTGTGACACGGATCTCCGGAAACCCCCCCCCCCCCCCCCCCCCCCACTCCTCCACCTGTCCCCCGGACTTTTTGATGGCTTATGTGTTCCGGAGATGGAGGGTGTTACTGGTGCTGAACGTGCTCACGGTGGCCGCGTTCATCACTTTCTGGGCCAAGTGCAACACCCGCAGCAGCGTCCCGACCGCCGCCGGCCCGGAGGCTGCTGCAGACGGGAGGAGGGCCCCGGGGAACGGGACCTCGCTGGGGCCCGGCATCAGCCATGAGGTGCTGCTGAAGAGGCTCAGCTCTCTGGAGGATGTGGTGTACCGGCAGTTAAACGGTAACCTTAATATTAATGTTCCTTGGCTCAGATTTCTAAATGTTTCCATGTCGGGATAAGAGGTTAACCACCAAAACAACATGGATAGTTTCACACTACACAACACATTCTCATGTCATTGTCAAGTATAGCCTACTGTATAGTTCATCAATTAGATTAATGTAATATTCTCGCTTTGAACTAACCTAAAACAATCACTCAAACATGTTAGCATGATACACTTAAAGTCATAGTTTCAATTTTGTTGTTGTTGAATTCTTCACAAGAAAAAAATATATTCACTAGCTTTCTGGGTGTTTTATTTGAACTTGAGCCTCCGGTGTCATTACGTGCTTCCCTTAAACATCTGAAATTATTTCAAAACAGAATCCTGACTAATTCTAAACTTCGACATATATACCAGTCAGTGAAAATACATATATTCCTCTAAAGTCATTCTACATGTTTGACTTTTTTAACTCAAAACTTAAAGGTGGGGTAGGTAAGTTTGAGAAACCGGCTCGAGATACACTTTTTGTTATATTCCATGGAATGCTCTTAACATCCCGATAGCAATGAATATCTTAAGTGCTTTGACAAAAAATCCATAAAAAAAATGTCATCTGTGGCAATCATTTTAGCCGACCCGGCTAAAATAACTGGATGGCCTACCTGCCTGTCAGCCTTCCATCTGGGCACAAACTTATCTCGTGCCCTCATTGGTCATGTTCGTGTGTGTTGGAGGAGGGGCTCTGTAAGGAAGTGGCAGATTTTTTCCGGCTGTGTATTTTCAAATCCGAGCGCACTCGAGCTGGTTTCTCCAAAATTACCTACCCCACCTTTAAGTTTAATTTTGTGTACTTAAAGTCTATTGAACCTAAATGCCCAAAAGATCATTAACACATCGGATAATGAGTTGGAATTAGGTTGGCTTTGAAGGTAACCCATTTTGGTGATATATGAACAGTCAAACCAGGACAAAAGCAGCACAGCTGACGGGAAGACAACACAAAGGTTACACTGTAGTGATCACTGATTCATACACTGGGGTTACATAATCCAATCATGGAACTACAGGTTGGGGGTACTGTTTCCACACGGACATACTTGGTTGGTACTTACTGCGTGCCCTCCCTTTCGCTTTCTCTTGTCTTCCCGGGCTGCGACCCGACAGCATGTGCATTTCTGCTGCTCATTAAAGCACCACTTTTCACCTTCACTGCACCGCCTCCGACTCCCTATCTCTCGGCACTACAACACTGAAATAACATGTCAAACTGGTTTTTCCTCAAGGGATCTGCAAGAGTTCTCCCCCTCGGGCCCCTGACATGAAGGCCCAATTCCAAACCACACCCTACCCACTCCCCCTCCGTGATGGAGTGAACTCCGGCTGTAGTCTCACTCTCAGCTAAATGAGGCTCCCTTCTTTCAGATGGAGGGTGTAAAAACAGCGTCTCTTGGATTAAAAATAACCAAATAAAACCCACAAATCTTTTATGGCATATATTTTTTGTAAACATATTTTTGTTTTAAAATCTGATGTTTATAAGCTGCTTAGTTTTTGCAAAAGTCAGTTTAAATATACACAACTTTTACCGTTTTCTAGACATGAGTAAATTATCCTAAATTTAAACAAATACGAGGTAACCATGAAGTTGTTAACATCTGTATGAAGATATTAAATGGCTCTTGTTGTGCAGTTTATCAGTGAATGTTTCCACGGAAATGTTTGTACACAGCGTGTTTCATGACGGACACACACAGCGTTGGTCGGTCAGGTAGGCCCAATCCCAAACCACGCCCTACACACTACCCCTCCGTTTGCGTGTTCGCGCGGAGGGTCCGCCACATTAAGTGCTGTTCCAAACCAACGAGTGTGGAGAGGTGTGGAGGGGGAGTGGGCTATCAAACCCTCAAACAGCGAGTCTGCATCGGTGCTGACTTGAGACTGGTCTACCTGACCGGAGTCACGCTGTGTGTGTCCGTCAGGAAACACGCTGTTTACAAGTAGTTCCAGCAAACATCCACTGATAAATTGCGATGTTAACAACCTCATGATAACCTCATATTTTTTTAACTTAGGATCATACCTGTGTTTAGTCTAGAAAAAGGTAAATGTGTGCATTTTATTATAAAGTTGTGTATATTTACAGACTGTTGCAAAAACTAAGAAGCTTATAAACATCAGGTTTAAAACTAAAAGAGCTTTACAAAAAAGTAACACAATGAAAGATGTTTGGAGTTTTATTTGAGTTCTTAATTTACATTTTTTGTCTAAGAGATGCTGATTTGAAACCGTTGTTACATACAGTTACGGCATTTCCTGTTTCTGCCGGAGAGAGGGGAGTTTGTCCCAAAGCTTGCCGCTGTATTTACTCCCTCCATCTGACAGGAGGGAGCCTCGTTGAGCTGCGAGTGTGGCTACAGACGGAGTTCACTCCGTCACGGAGGGTCGAGGGAGTGGTTTGGGATTGGGCCGTAGTGAAGCAGGTGAAGTCAGGTGATGCAGATTCTCTGTTGGAGGGCTTGATAATCCACTCCCCTTCCACACTCGTTGGTTTGGAACAGCACTTAATGTGGCGGACCCGCCGTGCGAATGCGCGAATAGAGGGGTAGTGTGTAGGGGGCGGTCTGGAATTGGGCCGAAAATGTCATACTGCAGAAGTAATGATATTTGTCCAACTTCTCACAGTACAAAGCAGATATCTGCTTTGACCCTTCTAGCATGTTTGATAAAATTGTCTGCTAAAATAGTCAACCTTGGTTTAATGTGGATGAGGCAAATGGATTTGTCTTCCTTTTTTTGCATTGAAAAAAATTAGAGGGTGTATAACATTTCTGAAAAGGATAATATTAATTATTCTTATATTTTTATAAGAGATGTTTGTTTTAAATTGACTAAAGTAAAATCCCCTATGCAGATAACTATCAAAACCTATTTTATTATCCTTAAGTATTGTAGCTAATGTTTTCCTGAAGAGCATCCTTCCTTTAGCGGGGAGATCAGGGTCGAAAGCAGAGCAGCTTTTCGGGATGCAGTGCCTTCAGCAGGATGTTTGCCAACAGGCATGATCACAGCTTATCACGTTGAACGATAGTCACTTTAATCACTTCCACCCACAAATACACTTAGTCACACTAGGAAGAATCATATTTATCCCTTATTGAAACGGTAGAACGTTTGAAGCTTTTTGAGCAGCATTCAGCCTAGAAATGGAAATGTTTTTCTCTTTAATCTTTAAAGAAAGTGAGTTTTCAACACTGAATATGGGAACTACTGACCTTAGTAAAAGTAAAAAAATAGCAATAGGCCTATTGTACAGTACACATTGCACAGTAGCTACAGTGTGGATATGGGAATTTATATTAACTCTTATTTGTTATGGTCAAAGTATGACTACAAGTAAGGAAGCTCAGTTTATTAAATGTTTGCTTTGTTCCCAACAGGAAGTAAACCTGATTAAATAATTGGGTTCTACAGGCTCAAACTATCAATTCTCCTGAAAAACACATTTTGAATCAGAATATTAAACATTGAAATTGAGTAAGTTTGAAAATATATATAAATATTATACAGTAAAATTTGATTCCAATGTACTTCATCTAAATGTTAACTTAAAAACTGGAGACTGAAGAGGTTTTTCACATACTGGCAAGATGTACTTACATTTAGAGAATAGAGATATTCATGTACAAACAGAACAGCAGACACATTTTAACACAAATCAAGCAGAACATTTACCTGGTTCTCTTTAATCAGCTCCTCTGCAGACTCTTCCAGAAGCCCCATCAGGCGGGAGTGCGGCTTCCCTCTAACTTCAGCTTGGTGCTGTTTAACAGACATGTCAATTATTGTAGCGAACACACATAACTGTAAGTACAAAAATAAATTGGAAACAAAGATTATGCCTTAACTTCAATTTAACGCGCTACAGAAGGAGGCACCAACAGTTCAACTTCCCAGTAGTCTTCCTGGATCACCCCTCGCCTTCTTTAGGCTGCAGTAAAATAGGCCGCATCACAGACTGGCCCACAGAGCAGTGTCCATGGCAGTGAATGTGTTTTTTAGGAATCTGGTGCCGCTATCTGTCTCAGTGTACACAGGAAATAAAAGCACACATGTGCATCACACACAGTCGGATGCATGTGAGTGAAATGACTTGACTCCCACAGTAAAGGAAAACTCAGTTTGGCGACACACTGCTTTACTACCGAGCAGCATTTGAAAATGTAGCGCGAATACCACCAACAAAAAAACTCTTCTGAACTACTAGTGCCCCACTGCCACATGTTTTATTCAAAACTGTGAATTTCGCCAGCTGTACCACTAAGTATTACATGTTATGTGTGCCTCGTCCATGACAGCAGGCTAAATTAGCTAGCACGCTAACTAGCTAAATTGCTAAGCTGAAACAGCTGTTTGTTTGATATCCACATTAAGCTTGCAAGCTAACTGGGATGTACAGAGTTAATAAAGTACAAAAATATACTTATATGATTCAAAATCCACGAGTATTCATATTAGATGAGGGTCCATGCTGGAACCGTCTGCTTTTTTTCAAATGTCTGTACTGTGCGCAAACTCCTCTGACGTCATCGTCGGCGTCACCCACCTTTACTCACATTGCTCAGGTACATTTTACTAACATTACTTTAGTTAACATTTACTTGGTGCTATGATTTAACCCCATTGGACCCCTCCCACCGTTTTTTTTTCGAGATAATGTCTCAGGGCTTCTTAACATTTATGAAACTATTAATGTGTAGCACCAGATTAACGGGAAGAATCTCAGCTAACTGAAGATATGAACCATTTTTACCAAAACAAAACACAAGTCTCATAAAAAGCGTCTAAATGACCCCTGAGCGAAAGAATTCTAACGCACTGCGGCACACAATTCAAGATAAAGATACCCTTATTACTTATTGTAGCTGCACATGCAATATAGCCGATTAAAGCTGAGACTTATTTAGGTATAGTATCATCACTGAGCGATCCGAACTTGCGACAGGGGAAGCAAACACAGACATCACAACACGTACCTTTACGGAGCATTTACGGCAGATCGTCTCACCGTAGCTGTCAATTAGGTCAAAAGACGTGTTCAATGGCATTAAAACGAAAAATAAAAATGCTACAACTGTTGATCCATAGGTTGATAATGTACCTGTGCCTTTGAAAAAATTCTTTATAATCCATAATTCCATTTTGTATGTAAAAATTGGAGCGGAAAAGTTAGCTGCTAATGGTAGCCACCAGAGTGTATGCAGCTTCCGGTTTTGGTAACGCGTCACTCTCACTCCTTATTTGTTAATGTTTTGGTGTGTATATAACTTTCCCTCGATTCCATTGGCCACCCAAATGACCCCAGAAGTGGGGTTTTTTGGCTAAATCTCTCTAAAAAGGTCAAATTTCACTTGTTTTGCATCAATCTTGATACAGGGTACTTATTATATGTTGTACTTTGGATTCCTAAAGCTTTTAGTCTACTAACCCATCATCCAAGGGTAGTTTTCACTATAAGTAAGAAAGAATTTTTGGATGGACACTATAATTTACAGTTTTTTACTATGTAAAATCTGAATTTTCTTTAAAATAAAAAACATCTATATTGACTCTGACTTTTCTACATCCAACTCACAGATTTATCATTACTTTGAGAATAAAGATTATTAATTTAACCCTTTTAGAAGGGAAGATATGGTCATTTGTTCTGGGAATGTCATTTTCGAGCCTGAGACCTGAAAAACAGGCTCAGGGCTTAAGAGGTTAAATGTACTTATCAAAATGAAGATACAAAATTACTTGCAAATTCAAGTAACACATTCAATAAAAGGAGAGATTTTGAGTAAAAGAAAAATTATTAGTAATTTCTTGTATAATTTAAATCGTTTTTATCAGTGTACCTGTACATGGAAGGTTTTCTATGTGAATCTGGGCCACTATTTGTCATAATGTGAATTCAGCTCAGATGTTCACGTGTTTGGACAGCCACTGTCGACATCCTGTATGTTCATGTGAAGCTGAGCTGTGATGAGGAGGCGATCAGCTGTGAGCCACAGAGAGCATTACTAAGAGAGTGACTCAGCCCGACTAAAGGATCCTGACATGTAATCTCCTCTCGTTTGCCTCCCCCAGGTCTGTCCAAGTCTCTGGGCCTGATAGAGGGCTTCGGGGGTCGGGGTAAGGGCGGCCTCCCCGCGACGCTGGCCACCGCTGAGGAGAGCGACGCCAAATACCTGTGGGAGAAGTATGGCTACAACGCATACCTCAGTGAAAGGATCTCTCTGGACCGGAACATACCGGATTACCGGCCTGCCAAGTGAGTAGATGTCAAGTAGATGCACGTTAAATTACACTTTTAAGGTTGTTTCACAGGAAGACAAGGACATATTTCAGTTTTAGGTCTGAAATACACACATGCATAAACACATACATTTTTTACGGAGCAGTGTCAGAGCAAAGTAAAGTGTGGTTGCTTATAGCCCATTCCACACTTCCTTACCTCTACTTCTGGGGCCCTTGCTTGGGCCATACTCATCTTCGAACATTGCCTTGATTGTGATCATTACTACACATTTAGAACGTTTTCTGATGCCAAATGGGCCAGTGGCATAGAGTGATAAGACTTATAGACCCTTCCAACTCCTTGCTTAGAGTACACCAATGTTCAAACTCAACCTTCATATTAAGCTCAACTGCACATCGTTATCGTGGCACCTTGCACTACGCTCTTTCAGCATGTTTGGTTGCCCATGACTGTTCTGAGATTTGAGTCTGATACCAGTGTCCCTCACCAGGAGTTCTGTGAAGATTCTTTTGAACCCTTGAAAGCTTTCGTAGGATGAGATCTAAAATGGAAACATTGGCTTTTAAATCCAGACCGCCAATGAATTAAACGTTTACTGAGACATGGGATCAGACAGGGCCGGCCCTAGACTTTTGGGGGCCCTAAGCGAGCTTTGGCTTGGGGGCCCCCCTCACTCTAGCGCGTTCTCACTTCACACAACACGGAACCAACTTTTGTCTTATGATGTTAGCATAAGCACACATATTGTATAAATAAGCATGTAAACAGCGTGGACCTAACATCCTCTAGGGGGGTCCTCACCTCCTCTAGGGGGGTCCGGGGGCATGCTCCACCGCAATATTTAAATATTGAAGTTAAAAGCATCAATCTGGTGCACTTTGAGAGCAAAATTAAGAGATCTATGGATACATCTCTCAACACCCATATGAAACAGAACTGTAAACAGATGTTTCTTTATGGATATTTTACAAATCACTCCCCTTTTAAACTGTATTCTTGTTTTGTCATATAGTATTTCATAACTGTTTTTCATTTATTCTCTCTGGCTGTCCATCTCATAATGTTCACATAAAAACTAGCTGTCAAGAGGAATATCATTCAGAAGAATTATAATTTCATGCAAAAATCTGTCACAAACAGAGGTTGCACATTTACATTCAGGTGTTGTTATGGCAACGTCAGTGGCCAAACAGCCACATTTACTGCTGCAAATACGTTCAATCATGCTGTCGACACGTAAAGCAGTGGCAACTATGCCACCATTTCAGCTGACTTTTTCTCAGAAATACTGTCACATAACATCCATATATTTCAGTGCTTGGTTGATGCTTAGCTAAGCTAACTATGAAACACTTTAACTGACAGGACTCAGGATCAACTGTGTACTGTAAGGTAGCTTCTAGCTTCATGTCGAACAGTAAGTCAACATTTCCCAGAGAGCTTTCTTTGAAATCACCAGGTAACGCTAAAAAACATTACATTTAGATTGTATGACAAAGTGTTTATTTAATATATCTGGCTAGCTATAGCTACTTGCTAACGGTTTAGCTTACCCCCGCGATTCAAAGTAACGTCAACGTAGCTGTAATTTCTCCTGGCTCAAGTGCTGGCTCTGGGGTTGTTGTGTGAACCACCACTTGAGAATTGTCGTGTTTTTCTTTTTTTTTTACAAATCTTTTTATTGCAAACAAGTCATAATCCAGCAAATGACAAGAAGTGAGAACAGTAATAAGCAATACTAAACAGTACAGATGTTACAATTAGCAAATGAAGACAATGGGGATCATTATAAAGGACCTCCTTGAAAATAAAATAAAGTGATGTATTGCATTCACTTCAGGGTTCGGAGAGAGTCCTTGTTTACAGTTTTTTTTTTCATTTAACCCCCCCACCCCCCACCCACAGGTATGGATGGCCCCAAATAGTAAAATAACTGAATAAATCAGATAAAATTATAAGTAAAACATAAATAATAATACTAATAAAAAGAAAAAAGAAAAAAAGAAAAGAAAAGTCGAGAGCGAAAACAGTCTGCTGGTATAAGGGAAGAAAATAATACTAAACATTGTCGTCTTGGTGAGGAAAAAGGGTTTAATTAAGAGCGAAAAGGAAATATAGATGAGTAGTCTAGGGCAAAAGACAAAGGGTCATGGCGGAAGAGCAGTAATATGAATGCTCCTAGCCGCCGACTCAGGTAGCCCAGCTGTCTTGGTGCTGTTAGACCTGACAGTTGCCTTCGACACTGTGGACCATAGCATCCTGTTGTCACGGCTTGAACAGTCCGCTGGCATCACAGGCTCTGCCCTTGCATGGTTCAGGTCCTACCTGACAGACCGTAGCTTCTCAGTGCAGCTAGGTGCCTTCTCCTCTGCCAAAGCCCCTCTTACCTGTGGGGTTCCCCAAGGCTCGATTCTGGGCCCCATCCTTTTTCTACTGTACATACTGCCCCTAGGTTCAATTCTCACAAAACACAACATCCCCTTCCACTGCTACGCCGATGATGTACAGATCTATCTGCCACTCAATTAAAATGTCAACTCATTACAGCTATTGATGGACTGCTTAGCAGAGATCAAATCTACTCTTAAAACACACTTCTTCTCCTTGGCCTTTTAGTCAGAGCGGAGCACGACTCCTGACTTTTCCCTGTGTTTTTTATATATCTGTTGTAATTTATTGTCTTTTATTGTGATTGTAGTAATGTGTTTTTATGTGATTGTAGTATTTATTACATGTACAGCACTTTGGCCCGACCAAAAATCGCTTTTCAATGTGCTTTACAAATAAACTTTGATTTGATTTGATTTGATTTGATTTGATTTGATTTGGTCACTTTTATTTTATTTATTTCCTTTCAGAGAGCTACCTGCGACTCAGCGTCAGAAGTGATAGGGAGTTCTTTGATAAGGCCTAATAGTGGGTTCCAGGTAGTACGGAAGGATTTCAGAGATCCTTTTAATGAGAATCTTAACTTCTCCATCTGAAGGCATAGTAAGACATCACATATCCACTGATCATGTGTTGGTGGGGAAGCATATATCCATTTTAAGAGAATAGAGCGTCTAGCTAATAGAGTGGTGAAGGCAATGACACGGCGTATACAGATGTAGCACTCCAGATAGGACTCCAGCTTACAGCTTCCTGCCTAAGACCTGCCTAAGACCAGCATCTGGGAATGTTAAGCCCTCCCACTATTTTCCAAGAGGGCGTTGCCAGATTTTCAATTTCAGGATTTAACCAGGAGATGGCGCTTCATTCACAAATACAGAAAGACAACTTTTCATGGACTTTCAGTTTTGTTTAGAAGAGCATTTGAACACATCAATATTTTAGATCAAATAAAGTATATCTAATATTGTAATTCAATAATATATAGTCTTTATATATTAAATAATCATAATAATAATGTAAATGTTTACATTACACTTCTTTATTTGTCATGCGGTCTACCTACGCTGTAAAATGTATTATCTCTTCGATTTACACACGGCATCTATTGCACTTCTGTCCGTCCTGGGAGAGGGATCCCTCCTCTGTTGCTCTCCCCGAGGTTTCTCCCATTTTTCCCTTTGAAATGTGGGTTTTTCTCTGGAAGTTTTTCCTTGTACGATGTGAGGGTCTAAGGACAGAGGGTGTCGTTTTCTCATACTGATATTCTGAACAAACTGTGCTGTTGTATTTGCTGTAAAGTGTCTTTACTGTAGGGTATTTGTATTATATGTACAGCACTTTGGCTCGACCAAAAATCGTTTAAAAATGTGCTATATAAATAAAACTTTATTTTATTTTATTTGATGCTCATACTTTTACCTTTACAATCGTTTGCTTTAATATGCAGTATATTTTTTGCATATTTTTGTGTTTGCTTCCTCCTGCTCCCTTTTGGACACATACTGTATGATTTATTATTATTATTAATATGAAGATATTATTAAGATAAGATAAGATAAGATGTTACTTTATTGATTGAACATTTTAGTTTAGAATGTGCTATCCCACGGTAATTCAGAAGGCTCACAGGTCACATTCCGACCATTATTTAAAACAATGGGTGCTTTCATAATAATGATGAGAAATAAGAAATGAATCAAATTAAAATGTAATTATCATATCATATATTATATAGTGTATTGTATTATTAAGTAATATCATACATTAACCCCATTATAGCAGATGCCACATTGAATGGATGAACACATTTATGCATCAATAATTACAACAGAGTATTTCTAAATACAAGTTGTAAAAATACTTATATGTATTTAATACTAATAACATAATGATTAATTTCAGATGATAATACTTTTCAGTGTCTGTCTCATGCAGCAGCTAATCCAGTAATGAGTGACCCGGCCGACAGTAAAAATAAACATTTATAACTAATTTAGGTACAGTAGTTTGAGAGGTAATTAAAATAGCTAAGGGTGATGATCTGACTTGAAGTGTGTGTTTTGCTCCTCCCACTGCATCACAGCATATACTGTGTATATCACCATTCTTTAATTAAATGTTTGATAAGTGCATGCAGATCACAGTACAGTAAAACATGTAAACAGATACATTATTTTGTATTTTTATTAAATTTGACAATGTCAATTTCACTTTCCACTATGTACAGGTATCTTGGGTCAGTCTTGTCTTCCAAAAATCAGGAAGTAAAGTCCCCTGGTTTGTGACAAGATGTGAAGTCAACAGATAGTCACTCAGAGGGGGGTACTATTTATTTTCAAATGCATGAAAAATAAATAGTAAATGCCACTCATTTACATGTAGGCTACACTGCTCTTCCAGTCAAGAATTTCAATTTGAATGGGATGGGGAGACGTGTGTGATTAAAAATGAGTGGCCAAACTAAGACTTAGTTTTTCAAAAGAGAAAATGCAGATATTACCCTCATAAAAGAAATGGTAGACATATCAGTACTCTTAGTGCCAAGTTGTCTCAGACAATCTGCATTTCCAGGGACAGTTCTGTGCAAAATGTGGGACACTGAACAGTCTATGTTAAAAAGC